GTGCCAGCTCGCCGTTCTTCACGCCGGAAACCATCCGAGTTTCCGGCCAACCCTTCGAGGGGGAGAAGGTTGTTTCTGGCGGCCGAGGGGCTGCTCGCTCTCTTAAAGCGAATAACGAATAAGGAAGAACAAAACAGTCCCGTTCCTGCTACTCCTGCCCCCCGCCCCCTCCTGGTGCCCTGTGGTTTCCACCTTCTCAGCCCGCATCCCCACCAGGACCCCGTACCCCGAGCCTGCGTTCGCCGCCACGGCCGAGGGGACACATGGGACCTGACCCCACCGGAGGGCAGCTGCGCCTTCGCAACACCCGCGCAGATCGGACACATCCGCGATCAGGGCTTTCAATGTCAGAATAAACTTAAGCAGAAGCCAAACCTTCAACCAGGTGTTTGCACTAATTCTCCAACCCGGGCCTCAAAGCTGACCGGCACCCAAAGAAGGGAGGTGGCAAATCTCTGCGTGCCCACAACCCCAAAATACGGTCGCCCTTCCTGCTGCTACCAGCTTGTCCATATCAGAGGAGACGTTCGTTACCCATAATTTCATATATCACCTCAAACAGGGGAAATATCAATGCCTGCTCACAACTGTTCGAGTCCAACCCAAACGCTCCCAAAGGTGGAACGAAGATTCAGGCGCTGCCGGGGCAAAGCAGCCTCCAACCCCAACGCGTCGGAGCAGCGCTTGGCATCGATTTTCTCGCCAGCGGCCGTGCCACCTTACGGCAACCCCTGCCCAAGAGCAGAGGAAGCATAACCGAGCTTTAGGGCTCACGCGTGCGTGCTGGCGTCGCGATGAGATACCATGAACTCGGCGCGTACCTCCGGAGACTTCCCGCTCCTCCAAGAGGCAGAGCATCCATCTGCCGGGCTTTGCGCAGGGCTCGCTGGACCGAGCGCCGGCCCCGAGCGCGAGCCGTGAGGGCTGAGGCCACCGCGCTCCGACGGCCCTGGAAAGCAGCAGCGTTTGAGACACGAGCTGGCAAACGATCGAAACCGGTCCACGAGCTATTGGGGGCAGGACTCGGGTCAGCGCCCGCGGGCCGCCTGGGCACAGCCGGCCGCGCTGGGTTGCTCATCCGAATCCTGTAGTGAAGCGTGACGCTTTAACAGGACACACGCGTTCTTCGTAACCACACAGGATCGCACTTACAAATCCCCAGCTTTGGCATGAACCTCCCCTCGCAGATCTCGCCTGCAGGACACGGCGGAGAGCTGGCAGAGAGCATCGCAGCCGAGCTGCTTTAAGCACCAAGACAAGCGCGAGGTGCTGGGAAAGCAGAAGGGGACCCTCGTTCCCACGCACCTTCACGCTGGTGACACGTTTACCTTGCACAACGCAGCACCGTCACAGCCTGGCAAGTCTTTGTCGACCCAGCACCAGAAGAAAATGATGAAAATCACCGGCCTCCTGCCGGACGGCTGGAGCAATGCGCGGAGGGAGAGGAAGGTGCAGCCGCCACCTCTCAGGTAATGCAAGACAAGAAATAACTCATTTCGCATCCGATGAATAATTAAATGTTCCCGGAGGGGCTGACGGTGCTGCTCCGTAACCTGGATACCCGCATTTAGCTTTTATCCCCTTTCTCTGCAGAGCCTGTCACCACCCTGCAGGTCAATGCGATGTCCCCCTGCCCCGAGACCCTTCAGGCCACGATGCCCCAGTAGCTCCTGGTCCAGCTCTGGCCACCTGAGTTCGGCTCTGGACCAATATTGGCACCTATTGCACCGCCTGCAAACACATGATTGACGATGTAATAGGCTATATTGTATTTTGAAGGAGAAACGTAGCCCCAAGAGCAGCTTTCCTCCAGGCAGAGCCTGCGTGAGGCTCCCCGTAAGAGTCAGACCTTCAGCATCCAGCCGGCCGAACAGCCCGCGGCGCGCTGAAAGTCACTTACCAAGAGCGGAGGTTATGCGGAGAGGCCAGGCGATGGGAGGCGACCCTGCTCCTCAAGGCAGGCGTCACAAGGCGCCGGCCCGGCGGGGAGCACGCGTGGCGAACCCACCAGCTTCCCTCCCGAGCCGGGAGAACCATCCGCTTGTTCACAGGCGATCAACAGCCGGAGCAGAGGCCGGCGGGGCTCCCTGGAGACCTAACCATGGTTTCCCAACCCATGCTCCTGGGCTTGCCCTAATTAGAAGGGCTCTATTACTGACAACGAGGCACCGGCTGGGAGTTTACTCAGCATGATATTGAGAGGACGTGGAGGATTTGGTGCAGTAAAGCGCTGTTCTAACTCCTCAAACACCTCGGTAAGGCCGAGGCATCGGAGGAGAGCAGCAGCTCTGCCGCGAGCCTGGTCAGCACTGCGAGCATCCGGGCCGTTAGGGGACGCGGCAAATATACGGGGGCTATTTGAATGGAAATTGTAATAGTAAAATATTTTACAGCGCTCAGTAAGTCAGTGTCTAGAAGGCAGTGAAAATCCTGCTCGCTGGGAAGACATAAATTTGATTTTAAGTTTGTTTAAAGCCGTTTTAACACCAAACAAGTAAACATTTATAACTGAATAAATAGTTTTCAGTTTAGTCAAGGAGCATTCAGTGGATGTTGGCATAAATATTCAGTTATGGAAATTTCATAGAAATAGATTTTTACATGCCATAAATAAACATTGTCTGAGACGAACACGCGCGCCGAACAAGCAGC